AATAACAAATAACAACAAATAATAACAAAGATAGCTAATAATGTAAGCATACTGTGTCCATAATAAGTATATAGGTTGTATGTTGGGAGCTTTTGGGAAAGAGCACAGTTAGAAAGATATGGCATATAGAAGCAAACCGGATGGACATCATGAAAATGATCGGAGAGGTTGAGAGTAGAAGAAGTTCAGGAGCAATAAAAAAAAAAAAATATATATATATATATATAATAGAATTATTGTAAAATTAACTCTGTCCATAAGGTGTAGATAGTAAGTATAGACCGGAAGTAGAGGCCTGGGCATTGTTGTTCACTAATTTACTCCAAGTAGGGAAAGGATGGTGGGGTTGAAAAGTAATAAAGGGGAGTATATATATAAAATAAAAATAAAAAATAAAAAAACATGGGGGATTGGAAGTGATGCAGACAATTACATTGATAGAAGTTACAATCTATCTGCAATATTAAGCTGATCCATTCCCCCCGAAAAAAAAGAAGAAACAAATGAAAAGAAATAAAAAGAAAAAAGAAAAAAGAAAAAAAAGAAAAAGAAAAAATTATAACAAATAAAGACCACACAGTATTAGACTACAACATAATAGAACAGAGGAACAACAAACATTGTCTGTATCCACTACCCAGGAAACAAACTGTGGTCGTAGGTGTTGGTCACAGTTTGATCACCCTGTTGCAGGTGAACTGTCCTGCAATGCAGGAAATGTAAAACTTGTAGTGCAGTGTTCTTCAATTCTGGTCCTGGAGGGCCGAAACACCTCTGTTTTTCATCCTCTCCTTCTAATCAGGGGCTAATTCAGACCTGGGACACCAGGTGAGTAATTAACTACCAGGTAGAAATAAAAAACAGAAGTGTTTCGGCCCTCCAGGACCGGAATTGAAGAACCCTGTTGTAATGTATTTGAGGTTTAGAAATGCTTCTGAAGTTTGTAATTTCCACTTTGAAATGTCAGACTTTATTTTCCCTTACGAAAAATGTATCAACCCCTACAAAAATTTAAATTAATTATAATCCACATAATAATTCACATTTCTTGTTGGTGCAGGATAATTTTTATGCTACAGCAAACTGGCTCAAATTAAAGATTCTACATCTGTGTTTGCCCAACATCTGTGGTTTTGAGCTGTATTCTACATAAGGTTACAAAATTCCAGAAATGGTCAATATATTCCCTTGTTTTCCAGAAATCCTGGTTGAAAGATTTCCGAATTTCCTGCTTATTCCTTTCTGATTCCGGGAATCCTCCAATTGACAAGCACATCTGAGGAAAATCATTACAACCTCATAACAGGATTCATAAAATGATGCTACTCTAGAAACAAAAAAAGTAGATTCTAATGATTGTAACAATGGACAGTGACATTCCCCCCTTCTACTCCAGTCACTTCCTGTTGGTCCACATATAGTTCTGGAGTATGAACACAGAGGTACACACACTAAAGGAAGAAGTCAGCAGCAAACATGGAAATGTCATTATCATAATAAATGAATACAGAACTGTTTTTGTCTTCTCCATATTTTCACATTGGCTAATTTCATGGCCTGGGTCAGAAAGAGATGGAGCTGTAAAAAACAAAGAAAACACAAGTGACCCAAGGGGAAAGGGTTTTGGAGCAGAGGGTCAGCAGATATAACACAAATGAAGTGATAATCAGAAAGCACAGCAGACTGCCTACAGTACTTTAAGGATAGATTAAGGACACACAGATAATAGAGGGGTCTTTCTGGGGTGGTTAAGAGGTGTGACAGAAGCATATTGGAGGCAGATATACTGTATATGTTGTGACATAGGGTTTGGGTTAGCAAGGCTAGGGGTTAGGGGTTAGGGGTTAGGGTTAAGTTTAGGAGTTAGGTTAAAGGATTAAGGTTAGGGTTAGGGGAATGGTTAGCTAAAAGGGTTAAGGTTAGGGGAAGGGTTAGGTAACCTGCTAAGTAGTTGCAAAGTAGCTAAAAAAAGTAGTAAGTAGTTGAAAAGTTGCTACTTAGCTAAAAGGCTAAAGTTGTCTGTGATGAGATTCGAACTCGTAACCTTTGGGTGTGATTGCATATAAACTTACTCTTTGAGTCCAAGATTGGTTTATGTGCCATAATTAATAAACCTACAGATTCATTAAGAAAGATTACGATTATTCTTTGATTCCTCCATTACAATAAAGCCCTAAAGATATGTGAGCTAGGCCTAACAACATTTGTTCATAGAGATCCTATTAAATTACTAGAGAGGCTATGTTATAAACCCTCAAAGTTTCAGAATGGGTGGGAAATGGCAGTCATATTGGTCAGGGAGAAATTCAAATCCGGCTAATTGGAATGAATGGCAGTAGAGGCATAATCCTGATTTTACTGATGCAGGAAAATAAAAGTAAGGCATGTGATATATCACAAATTGTGTAATAGAATTCTTGTCTACCTAAAATATTGTCATATAATTATAAATACAGTTTATACAGGTTTTTTTAAACAAATTTTCAGTGGAAATAACCTCTAAAATATATGTAAACAGACCGTAAGTGTCTACATTTTTGTTTTCTTGGAAAGTTGTGAATGCTATTATATCATACAATATCAGTAGGCTACTTATTGCATTTACAACTTGTCTAAGTCCTATCATCAACTGATTTCAACCAGTTTATGGCTGTGGGTTGACTACATTGTTTGAATGGAATGTTGTCATATTGGCAGTTAATTTGAAAAACTGTCTGGCTAGCTAGACAAACATACAGTGCAGATAAACTCTTCAAATTCCTTATTTTACACAATCTCTTTTCACAACAGGGGCAAACCATAGTTGACCAACTCCCTGACCAAAATGGCTGACCTTTATACCATCATAAGAAGATTCATGTCAATTCTAGTATTATAATTCCTAATTATATGGGTTTGTCTTCCTGTCTTATACTACGATCATCCAGTATTTTCCTTTACAGCTCCTCTGCCGCTCAAAAATAAGGGCCAAAGGGGGAAATGTTGTTTTCCTACCTGCAGTTTATCCCCGGTGACGCCACAAGAGGGAGTGAGAGGATGTGCAACTGTTGTCAGGGGGAATTTCGCAATGAATGAAAATTCAACGCATTAACATAAGACTAGCTCTTTAGAGCAGTGTGGATTTATTGGTTTTCCTTTAACTATTTTGGCTATTCATTTATCACAAATTATTTTATAAAATGTGCTTATATTATATTGTGTTATCACTTACAGTAGCTTCATCCTCATTTTGTATTATCAATTTAACTCGTAAGTGCCACTGTAGTCTCACCGTGAGTCCATCATGTCAGTAGGCCAATAATTTATTCCAATTGTACTACTCAACAGTTTATTTTTGATCACAGATATTTCCTCTAGTCTGTTAGGCCTTAGATGAACAGTCAACCAGGGTAATTGACAGCCAGTAACAAAAAAATACATCTAGCCACACAAAGCTGTATGCCTGTGGTGTGGAATATATGTTCAGAACATGATTGTGTATAGGACTGCTTGGGGTGGAACTCTAGCTCAGAACACTCGACTGGTTCCAAGGCATGCACACAAGCATGGGGGATAGAGAGCAAATTGTTGGCAGAATCTCACCTCTGTCTATAGCTGAATAAACACAACCATTTGTTTACCCCTTCTTCCCTTGGATTAGGCCTAATTGGGGTGAGTGTGATCGGAGTGACACAACACCAGCTATTAAGAACAATGTTAATCTGTCACAGTTTCTAAATAATCTCATTTTATTTTTGACCGCATAGGTAATCCAGGCGTGTACATGGGAGAGGTAATGTATATGGTTGTTCGGTGAATGTTGGCCAAATTTAGACCTGTTATTAATTATTTCATTAATTAATAAAACAAGGTATAATCGCATTCCGTAGCGAATGTGTTCTGAATAATTCACACTGAAATTACTGTACCTGTTTAGCAGAATGTGTTTCACGTTGGAATGTATATCCATAGTCGGTAGACAATTCTTATTAAAAAGGCTCCCTTACATCACTGAGCCATGGACAAGAAACTATTAAATCCCGTTTTTAGAAGTTAACCCCCCGTCCCGTCTCATCCCGTCCCTCCCGTCCCCCGTCCCCTCCCCCCAATCAAAATCAAATATGGATGTTCTTGCTTTGCTCGCACACGTTTCCACTACTTCCAGTCTGTGCATGCAGGTGTGCGTGCAGTTGTGCGTGCGAAGCGATTAGGGTGGAAAAGGCCTAGGCCACATACAAAATCTCAGCAACTCATTTGCGTCAATTAATATTCATCAGTAGGCCTATAAACCAATGAAGTTCCTGGTTAAAAATGAAATAAGGAACCAGGCAACAAATCATCTGAAGGAAAAGGTAGGCCTAAAGAAGTAGTAACATAAATTAAAAACCTAACTTTATTATTTTGATACATTTAAAAATATATATATATATTTTCCCAATATAAAAAGTCAACAGTGAACCCTCAGAGATTCAATAGGCATCAAGTCACCAAGGTAGAGAGCGATCAAGTCACCAAGATAGAGAGCGATCCAAGTCACCAAGGTAGAGCGCGATCAAGTCACCAAGGTAGAGAGCAGTCAAGTTCTCAAGGTAGAGAGCGAGGAAAAAAACAGTTTTGTGTAGCCTAGTGAATTAAAACCCTCATTCGCCGGCGTGCGTCATGACGCACCCCAGTGTGCGATGCATATCCAATGAGGCTCCGTGTGGCTGCCCCACTGCAAATAAAGGGAGATAACGGGCGGTGAGTAGCGGCTGAAAACGTTTTATACTGACATGTTAGAGCAATGACTTTTGCGTAACCGCGTAAAAACTGGGACTAGGCTCCCAGCACGAGGATGATATAGGGTTCTTACGGAAAGAGGAACAAGAAACGATAGCCACGGCCGGGTGGGGAAAAGAAAACGGCGAATCCGTTGAAGTTTAGGAAGAGAGAGTGAGCGACAGAGTGAGCAGGATTCCCGAAATTGAGAGCAATCCAAAAACATAGGTTGCGGTGGAAGAGCGAGTGTACCCATTTGAAAGATGAGCTTGATGTCTGCCATAGACACCAGTGCCTCAGTGTACCAGCCTGCACAGCTCCTGAATTGGGTCTATCTCTCTTTGCAAGACACCCACCAGACCAGCGCTTTTGACGCCTTTAGACCCGAACCCAACTCTTCCCACCCGGAGCTGAACTACTGCAAGACTCCTGCGGCGGACCTGAGTTCGTCCCTCAACTCCAACTATCTCAACAACTTTTTTCAGCTCCAGCGGAATGAGGTTAGAGACGGATCGTTCTGTCTGTCATTCCCCCCCCCCCCCCCCCCCCCCCCCTCTATTATGGAATTATATTACCATGATGTTATTGCCACGTTATCTAAATAGCATATATAGGCTACGATCTGTTTGTATTTGCGTACATCCCATCGTATGTCGAGCGCTGTTTTGCAAAAATGTTTGAAGGAGTTTGTGCAACATTGGGTATTCTGGTAGCCTACATATAACCGGATATTTCGTATATGGACAATATAAAGACGTGCTCATTAACTTTTCAGACCTATTAGGGCAATATCTGATTCCACCATAGCCTATTCTAACAACAATAAAGTTGATTTAGCAACAGCTCTGAGTGCAACATGGAGAATTCAACATGCACAAGCATAACTGGTTTTATATTGGGCAGAATTATTACTAGACTATGGCAGGTAGGCCTAATTGATTAGTGCCTATAGTAAATAAATAGAAAAACAGTAGGCCTGTAAAAAAAATTTTTTTATGCAATCAGGATGAACTGCCAAGAAGCACCGGGTCTAGTTCTAAGTGTAAAACACGACTGTAATAGTTTTAAACTCGGCAAAGATGTATAATTAATCCAGTAACGTTATCTGTGACTTTCAATTAGGTGTTAAAATGCAGAGTTAGCATTTTGAGAGAAGTATATATATATATATATATATATATATATATATATATATATATATATATATATATATATATATATATGTATATATATATATATTTTGTAATTGTCTGACTCGGTTTAGGCTGTTTTAAAGGCAAGGCCAATCTCGAGCATGTCACATGTAGGAGCGTGATGCGTCTGGGTCTTGGGTCTGCATTAGGTTGGAATATTTTCCCAGTATTTTACAAATGTTGCATCCCGAGAATAAATCACTTTTCTCCCGGGTAACCCGGTATTTCCCGCCAAAACCGGAAGTGACATTCAAAAGCATTATAAAGCTTATAAATAGGCCTATGTCTGGATTTGACTAGAGCTTTGATCGAAAATTAAAGCCTGACGCAACCTTAGCCTGATTAAATACATTTTATGAGCCCTACATTAAAGACATTTAATGAGTGCATCCCCAAAAAGCCCAAATGATTGTGCCATTATCATCCAATACATAGGCTGATACAGTATATAGGCTACTGCACATTATGCACGACAGAAAAACATAAAAGCACATAGATGTAGCTATGCTCTCTTGGGTAAATAAATGAAACAAGCTCCAGTAGGCTAATCTTTTTGAGTGTGAACTGTATTACTGTACTGTATTGTATTATACTGTATTATATGGACTGGAATTACGCATCTCATTCAAACCATGATAAAGCGGTGAGAGAACATGCGATTCTGGTGCAGCACATGCGGCCTACAAAGTTACAATTATAAGCTAGCGAGTTTGATTGACATTTTTCATAATATTTCCCCTAATGTTATAGCCTACCTCCTCTTTCTCTCTCTATTGTTGCTTCATTCCTTCCTCGCTTTCAACAGTTAAATGAAATAAGTTTGGTTGTCCTTACCTTCATCATTCTAATGACATACTTGAGTAATATAGGACTAGAATGAGATGCGGAAGGCTTTCAGTTCTCAACGATGATTGAATGGTTATGGGTCTGAATAAATAACTGCTATAGCCTACCGCCATCGCGGGTTCGCTCTTCTTTCAAACTACCTGTGAGTTCTATTGGCTGCTGTATTTAACATTAAGCAAACAAGAGCTTATGTCCCTCTTCGAATAGTCTATTGGTATAAGAAATGCTAAACAAAATAATGTCCAGCAAACTATTCTAGTCTAGCTTTTCCTGCATGGGACTCCAAGAGCTAAGGAGCCTTTTTTACTGCGAGAGGCCAGTGGAGCACAAAGGTGCGTGCGTATTGCACAAGAGACAGAGGCTATTAGTTAGAAGCTTATTATGCATAACCCATCATTCATTACCTAAATATAAGACTAATACTGATTTGAATTTATCACCTGAAAGAGATAGGCTAGGACATCTATATATAGGCCTATATATAAATCTTGAACAGGATTATCTATTTTGGATGCAATTTGAATGGAATTGATGGAGAGAGAGAAAGACTGTGAGAAAGTGCTCATTAATACACTGATTTAAAGCAACGATATGAGTGTTTTAAAACGCTGCAATAATACAAATAATAAAACATATTTACAATTAAAAAATAAGGTGACCCCGAAAGCCAGATGAAGATGTGTCTTTATATTACTGTAGCATAAGCTATGCTGCAGTTAATGTCTACGTCACAATAAAAAGGTTACCATGATGAGATTATAGGTCTACATACTGAGATGGGCTGTCAGTCCCACCCTGAGCGTTGATGATTCATCATGCAGTGACCAGAGAGAAGGCCATAGAGAATCCAGATTTAGACATAGCATATGATTTAACAGTTCCGTTTCACTTCATGCTGTTCATATCAATAATTTATTATAATTTACCGGTTTCTCGCAGTTATTTATCCCAGGAAAAGGGAGTGGTTTTGGGCAGTAAATCTCGGTAAATCTCAGTAACTGGGTTCCCGCCATTCAACCCTAGTCTGCATGCTGATGAGCTTGAGAGGTCTCCGGGTTAAACGCGGTCTCAGAGCATTTTGTATTATTCTGTACATAAATTCAAGACACTCCATTTAGTATGATATCTTACGTTTCATATGGTATGTATTAATTTGTGGATGTCCATCATCCATTTCATATGATATTTTATGAATGACAATTCGTACAATATGTTATGAATTGCAATTCCTATAATATAATGTTACAAATTTGCAAAAAGTACAATATCTTACGAATTTGCAAAACATATGGTATGTTACAAATTACAATTTGTTGTGGCTAATGTTAGCTAGGTGGCTAGATGGCCAACACTAACGTTAGCTAGCTGGCTAACGTTAGCTCTAGGGGTTAGGGTTAAAGTTAGGAGTTAGATTAAAGAGTTAAGGTTAGGGGAAGGGTTAGCTAACATGCTAAGTAGTTTCAAAGTAGCTCACAGGTAGTATGTAGTTGCAAAGTTGCTAATTAGCTAAAATGCTAAAGTTGTCCATGATGAGATTCGAACACGCAACCTCAACCTCTCATTGCAAGGGGTTGGTAAAAATGCTGTATCTGAGTTCACAAGAAATGGCATGATTCTTTGGTCCCTTGAGCACATAATGTAGCCTATCATTAGGACACACACACACACACACACACACACACACACACACACACACACAGAGTCAATACCAAGACCGGGATGGGGGCGAGGGGTACGAGACCAGGTCAAGACCAAGACCAGAAAAATGTGAGTCCAATTCAAAAACTGTGGCAAATTGCCACCATAATAAGAGTAAAATATGTCCAGTATTTTTGTGTTCATATTTCAGTAGAACCTATGGATTCTTTAGACATACAGAATGGTGAAAATAGGCACGCTGAGGGGCAAATAGAGAGCCACTAAACAAATGATCACTAACCCAAACAGGTTAAATAGAGAGACACTCTACAAATGATCACTAACCTAAACAGGTGTCTAATAGATACAAAGACTAAATATATTACAACTTCCCCTGGTCTCCCCTTACTAATACCCACTGGGCACAGACATCAGTTCAATGTCTAGTATTGATTTACATTTGGTTCAGTTGTCAACTAACGTGAATTCAACATGAAATCAATCAAAAATGTCACGCTGTCATTGGATTAAGGTTAAAAGTTGGGTGAAAAAAAGACAAAATACCCTTATGTTGATGACTTTTTGCAAATCCAATTTGTTTTCCACATTGATTCAACTTCATCACATTTAATTTTGGGGTTGAAATGACATGGAAACAATGTTGATTCAACCACTTTTTGCCCAGTGGGTAGTGAGCCTGCAACAATTTCCCCCACTCTTCCCTAGCAGCGAATCAAGGAAATTCTGACGAGCGCAACAAAGTTTGAGGATATTTTTCAACGAAAGTAAAGGACAGTAATGTTACAAGTAAATAAGAAATCCCAGCTTTCAATAGGCAATAAGATATTACTGTGTCATGAAAGGAGTGTGGCTATTTGGCCTGGCAAAATGATTTTATGCGCTGACTGAATGGGAGCTGATAATTATCCGTTTTTTACTCTGCTGGTCTTGGCTGGTCTCGGGAAGAAATTAAGAGTCCTCATTGTCCGAGACTGAGTCAAGGCAGAGTAAAAATGTATCTGACACCCAGACAAGACCGAGACACTCGATATGTGGTCTCGAGGCTGACCGGTCTCGAGTATTACAACACTGGGGTAACCTCCCACTGGGCACAGATGTCAATTCAATGTCTATTCCACGTCGGTTAAACATAATTTCATTGAAATTACATGGAAACAACGTCTATTCAACCAGTGTGTTCCCAGTGGGCTACTTCTACCCAGTGGCGACCCGTAATTCAGGGCAGAGCCCCACCTGTTTTGAGCCCCACATTTTAAGCTAGAAATAAAAAAATAAAAACTTTTTTTTGGGGGGGGCTTGACTGTTTTGAATGTTATTTTGGCATTTTGTCACATATCAGTTTGCAAACAATGTAAAACAAATAAATAATAATAATTTAGTTAAAAAAGCTGCATACAAATATGGTCTCTCATTTGCTTTCTTGAGTAAGGCAGCTACAAAATGCAGGTGTTTCAGCCTAGCTCAGTGCTTTCTGTGGTGGTGGGGCAGACAGCGGAAAATACGGAGCGTAGGTGTTGGTAATGTTCTCTAGTTGCGCCGTGATTAGCTCAGTGTTCTGTCACTCGTGGGGACAGTACGTCACCGCCAAGTCTAAGAGTAGAGCTAGACAATTCAAGCCCCTTGGGTGCTGCCATAGAGTTACATTAGAAGTGCCCATCCAAGAAGGCGTTATATCGTTATATCTACAGTAGCTTTGATTGGACTGATCATGTCAACATCATACTTTCAAAATCTTAGCTAGCAGTCATCATCATGAATCAAGTCGACAATCTACTGGCAAATCCTTTTTAATCCTTGTCATATGAAGAGAAATAATGAAGAGAAATTATAGATAAAATGTATCGGTGCTCATCGGCCATTGGACATAAACATTACACAACAAGTTGGAAATCACAAATTCAACAATGAGTGGTTTGGAAGGAATCTGTGGCTAACTGCAAGCATTGCAAAGCAATCACTAGCCTGCTATTCAGTGGAGTTTTAAAATGATAAACATTCAACATTGGCCATGCTGTCATTGAAGCATGATTTGTGCCGCGCTCAAAACAATTTTTAACTCGGAACTGCGAAAAACTTGACTTTGGTGAGATCAAGACAACTGGGAACTCGGGAAAAAACGAGCTCCGATTGGGAAAATAAAATTTGAACGGTCATCCAACTTGGAATTGTAAATCCGGAATTCGGGCCTCTTTCTAGAGCTACGACCTGAAGATCAATGACGTCATCATGATTCGACCTTGTTTTTTTCTGAGTTCCCAGTTGTCTTGAAAGCATCATAAATCCAGAGAATGCCAGACTTTGATGACAAAATTTCCCCACAAAGGACCACTTTCCTGTTCAAGTGAACACAGCACAACAAGGTGAGTCCAAAAATGTATTGTATGCCGCTGCATAAATGATGTAATATGCCAGGGAGATATATATACTTTAGCTAAGAAAGTAATACTAAGTGTATGTTGTGTAGTAAGCTGTTAGTAGCCCATGTGCCTCACCCTAATAATTTGGTCTATTTTCGCCTCTTAATTTCGCCTACTGTTCTGACTTGGTGGTGCACATGTAGCCTATAACCTGTTTTAGAGCAATGTAATCATCGAATATTGTACGAGCTTTCATTGTCTGCTTATATGCCCCCTTTATTTATCCTACGGTTCTGACTTGGTGTACAGGGATAACACTGTAAGAACGGCCCATGTTCTGAATTCTGTCGCTGTACATTTCAAAAGTGCTAAACAAATAGTTAGATTGACTACGTCCGTCCTAGCTCGCTCATTAATGTCTTAATCGAAATTACGGATTGCCTCTTATCCGCTTGTCGTCCCCATATGTCATAGTTTGTACATCTCAATTGTCATTCGAAACCACATTTGTTTAAGCAAGTCAGCCATATCAGCTATGTTTTTTTTAAAGGCAGTAAATTAGGCTGAATTAACTGTTTCGCTGCCAGACAAGGCTCAGCTGATAGCCAGGTGTAGCGGTGGTAAGATGTTGGGACTGCTGTTGGGACTCTGCTGTTGGGACAGCTTTATGTAGATCCTAACAGTTTGTGGGCACCATTTGCATGGTTAATTAATGCATTGTTTAGTGTTGTGTTGTGTAGTGGCTTTGCTGACATGCATCCCACATTTTTGTTTTTGTTTGCCCCACCGAGATGTACATGCTAAAATCGCCACTGCTTCTACCCTACAGGTTTGACTAGTTGCTTTAGACTACATTACTAGGATACATTTCCCCCGACTCTTGCAAATAGATCAGGTTGTGAAAACAGAAAACAAGACTTGTTTGCACCTTCTATATTTATGTCGTCATGAATATTTACAGGGCATCAATGTAACTGATAGTCCAGACCATATGTGACTGCAGGCCTTGTTTTTTTTGTGTCATTTAGCAGATGCTCTTATCCAGAGTGACTTAAAGGAGCAATTAGGGTTAAGTGCCTTGCTCAAGGGCATATCGAACCAGCAACTTTTTGGTTACTGGGCCAACGCTCTTAACCGCTAGACTACCTGCCGCCTAGCTATAGAGACGTTTGCAGCCATTTAACATAAACCAGGCCTCTGAAACATGTGTGGTCTTTATACATTAAAATCCATTGTGTAATGTCATACGATCCCCCCTTGAGTAGTGTTGCAAAAACTGAATGAACACGCACACCCACATACACACATGCATGCACGTGGGCACACGCATGCACACACGACGCACACACAGTCTGGAAACAGTTTAAGCAGATTGGCCATTTTCTTCTCAACCTCACTGCAACGCCAAGTACAACAACCCACTCCTGAGTCTTGATCTGTTGGAATGAGTAATGTGTTTGTTTTTGTCGTCAATGACGTGACATTGTCTCATCAAAATGATATCTGGAAATTAATTAAGGGGTTTTGATGTGAGGAGAATGAAGTGAAGGTTGAAGTGGTTGTGAACAGAGACGGGCAGTATTTCTGTTACATCTATTTGAAATATGTGTTTCAATTTATTTTGTCATCTCTTACAGAAAATCACATGATTTCACATGACATTTCACGTGAAATGATATGAAAACGTGTTTTTAGAACACTTCATGTGATCACTTTTTCACATGTGTAGTTTCATGTGATCACGGATTGCCTTACATGTTGTCACATGTTATCACATTAACTTCACATACTGTAAGATCAAATGTGATCACATGAATACATGTGTTTTTGGAACAATTCACTTGTGCTCACATGTGAAATTCATGTGGTTTTTCCATAAGGAATATGCCACAGAGTGTCAAGGAATATTGGCACAAATCTGGTCTGGATTCCAGGCTAAAGATGATGCTCAATATTGAATATTGCACAAGAGACAGTTTTGCTCCTGATCTCCTTGCTTGCATGCCTGTGGTAGGCTACTCTAATCACTTAAAGCGGCAATCACCAGTATTGAGATAATGAGCAGTAGAAATTCCCCGACCCTGTTTCGGTAAAAAGCTGAGGGGTGGGACTGGAGAAATTAAACCACTCTCAAATCATAGACAGAACTATATGGATACAAGGACTGACCATCCATGATATCAAAATGATAGTTTTAACCATGTTTTGATTTACTTCGATTATAAACATAGGAGTAAAACAAGCTTCTCTTTTGGGTTCTGATGGGGTACGACAGTTGAACTGTCACGGATTCTGCCGAGGCTGCTCCTCCTCCTAGTTCGGGCAGGCTTCGGCGTTCGTCGTCCCCGGAGTACTAGCTGCCACTGTTGAATGTTTCTATTTACATTTAGCAGACGCTCTTATCCAGAGCGACTTACAGGAGCAATTAGGGTTAAGTGCCTTGCTCAAGGGCACATCGACAGAATTTTTTCACCTAGTCGGCTCGGGGATTAGAACCAGCGACCTTTCGGTTACTGGCACAACGCTCTTACCCACTAAGCTACCTGCCGCCCCGTGTTTGATTGCTTTTGTCTGTCTATTACACCTGTGTCCGTTTGTGTCTGATTACGTGTTCTATAAGTTGCCTGTTTTGTATTGGTTAGGTTGTGTGTTGTTTTTCGCCTGTCCGTTGTGCTGCGTATTTGTCTCTGTTTTGTTGTTTTATTGTTTTACGCATAGTTGCGTAATTGCTCGCCTCTGTTTTGTTTTGAGGCCGATCATTGTATCTTTGCCTTGTGGTTTCACAAGTAAACTTTGTTGGACTAAGCTTCGGTGTCCTGTGCCTGACTCCCACACCACATACACCTCAGCCTTGACATGAACTAAGCTCATGAGACATTTATAAGTTATATTCTTCAAGAATCAATGGGTACATATCATTAATTTATCATGTCTAAAAAGGGATGTAGCAACTGCTGATTGTCCCTTTAACCTATTTGTATTGGAGAAATAGAGTACATCAGATTAAATGAAGTCAATGGCTGTGTGCGAAATCGTTCTTGCTTTCTATGAGCTCTGTTTCAAAGTAGTGCACTATATAGGGAATAGGATGTCATTTGAGACACAACCTAACAGCGGTGTTTCCCTCCTCTAGGGTGGAACGGCTCACCCTACTCAGAGGAGATGAGGAGTGTCCCAAATGGCACCCTATTCCTTTTATAGTGCACTACTTTTGACCAGGGACTAAAGGGCAGCTCAACCCCCACTAGGGGTTCACAGGGGGACAGTTTTGCCCCTCACTGCCTCATGGTGTGGTGTGTATGAGGCATGATAAGTTCTTTTTGGAGTTGCTATTTGGGAATGTAACTACTCACAGGCATGTATGTGCCCAAACACACAAACCCACACACACGTGTACTTGTGTGCATGTATGCATGAAGGCATGCACATACACACACGTACACACGCATGCACACACGCACGCACACACATACACACACCATTAGCAGTTGTCTGTGAAGTCTGTTTCCTTTGGGAACACAGCTGGATTTATAGCCTAGGGTGAGAGAGGGGCTCTATGGTCATGATGACTGTATATAGTGGCTAAGGTACTGTATGGTTTACCTTTCACTGATTTGATAGTAAGGTTTGATTTGATATCAGGGCACAGAAAGCTGTATACAGTGGCTTGCGAAAGTATTCACCCCCTTGGCATTTTTCCTATTTTGTTGCCTTACAACCTGGAATTAAATTGGGGTGTGTATCATTTGATTTACACAACATGCCTACCACTTTGAAGATGCTAAATATTTTGTATTGTGAAACAAACAAGAAATAAGACAAAAAAACAGAAAACTTGAGTGTGCATAACTATTCACCCCCCCAGTCAATACTTTGTAGAGCCACCTTTTGCAGCAATTACAGCTGAAAATCTCTTGGGGTATGTCTCTATAAGCTTGGCACATCTAGCCACTGGGATTTTTGCCCATTCTTCAAGGCAAAACTACTCCAGCTCCTTCAAGTTGGATGGGTTCCGCTGGTGTCCAGCAATCTTTAAGTCATACTACAGATTCTCAATTGGATTGAGGTCTGGGCTTTGACTAGGCCATTCCAAGACATTTAAATGATTCCCCTTAAACCACTTCGAGTGTTGCTTTAGCAGTATGCTTAGGGTCATTGTCCTGCTGGAAGGTGAACCTCCGTCCCAGTCTCAAATCTCTGGAAGACTGAAACAGGTTTGCCTCAAGAATTTCCCTGTATATAGCGCCATCCATCATTCCTTCAATTCTGACCAGTTTCCCAGTCCCTGCCGATGAAAAACATCCCCACAGCATGATGCTGCCACCACCATGCTTCACTGTGGGGATGGTGTTCTTGGGGTGATGAGAGGTGTTGGGTTTGCGCCAGACATAGCGTTTTCCTTGATGGCCCAAAAGCTCAATTGTAGTCTCATCTGACCAGAGTACCTTCTTCCATATGTTTGGGGAGTCTCCCACATGCCTTTTGGCGAACACCAAACGTGTTTGCTTATTTTTTTCTTTAAGCAATGGCTTTTTTCTGGCCACTCTTCCGTAAAGCCCAGCTCTGGGGAGTGTATGGCTTAAAGTGGTCCTATGGACAGATACTCCAATCTCCGCTGTGGAGCTTTGCAGCTCCTTCAGGGTTATCTTTGGTGTCTTTGTTGCCTTTCTGATTAATGCCCTCCTTGTCTGGTCCGTGAGTTTTGGTGGGCGGCCCTCTCTTGGCAGGTTTGTTGTGGTGCCATATTCTTTCAATTTTTTAATAATAGATTTAATGGTGCTCCGTGGGATGTTCAAAGTTTCAGATATTTTTTTATAACCCAACCCTGATCTGTACTTCTCCACAACTTTGTCCCTGACCTGTTTGGAGAGCTCCTTGGTCTTCATTGTGCCGCTTGCTTGGTGGTGCCCATTGCTTAGTGGTGTTGCAGACTCTGGGGCCTTTCAGAACAGGTGTATATATACTGAGATCATGTGACAGATCATGTGACACTTAGATTGCACACAGGTGGACTTTATTTAACTAATTATATGACTTCTGAAGGTAATTGGTTGCACCAGATCTTATTTAGGGGCTTATTTATTTTTTGGCATTTTTTGAAACAAGTTCCACTTCACCAATTTGGACTATTTTGTGTATGTTCATTACATTAAATCCAAATAAAAATCCATTTAAATTACAGGTTGTAATGCAACGAAATAGGAAAAACGCCAAGGGGGATTAATACTTTTGCAAGGCAATGTATGCAATGTACACAATCTATAGTATTCTATGAGTCTATAGTAAAGCTGGGCAATATGGACAAAATCCATATTGCGATAAATTGCCTGAATTTATGTGATAAGTAGAACTATACATTTATAACATTAATGTGCAGCAGAGTTTTTTTAAATTACCCTTTAAACTACTACTGCTAGTTTGATTGTTATAGCCATCAATTGGTCCATTAACAATCACACATATTAGCAAACTTATTTCATTTCAAACTTCACATTTCTCTAGTATAGGCCACTTATCGTAATGAACGATATCAGCAAAATGCCTGTGATAAGTGATTGGTATGGTCGGTGTCGATCATATTTGGTTTATCATCCCTGCTCTAGTCTATAGCAGGGTTTGATCCAGTGGATCAAATTAATGACAGATGGAAAGCCATGTAAAACAGAAAAAAAGCTTATATTTGATTTATCCAGGGTAGAATCTAGTAAATGAACACGTACGCACACACACACACACACACACACACACACACACACACACACACACACACACACACACACACACACACACACACACACACACACACACACACACACATACACACACAGGAGCTGGAGCTGGTTAGAGTTGAGTTGAGCTGCCTCCAGGGCTGGTTAGGTAAAGACTTGGACCAACCTCTGCTACACTCTCTATTGCCAAGTGTAAGATTTCAGCGCTATGCAACATTAGACATCAACAATAACATATGTTCCCTAAGCATGGCTGTGTCTCCCAAAGAGCGATATCATTTACAGAGACTCCAGTAACTTTCCATAACTCTGACAGTGTTGGCCTATAGCTTGGATTTCTGCCATGTCTCAGTTTTAACTGTGGACTGTTAGGGCTATACAGTGTACATTGAATAGAAGAGGTAATCGTAACTAGGACCAGGAGTTTTTCTTAAGAAAAACGTTGGGCCCTATTACCAGGGTCATGTCACATGCAGGGAAAACCCCTGTCCCTCACCATAACCAGAGGTTGAACCAACTTACCTGATTTATTGTCACCTTTTTGTTGATCGTCTTTCAAATAGAGGAAGAAGTGAATGAAAAGGGTTTTTAAAGTAATTCTGACCTTCTCCTTCACTTTGCTCATGGAACATTTATATTCAGAGTGCATTTAGCAGACATGCTGGATCGTACCGGTCTCACGCAACACTGACTGGCACGACTTCTCAGAGTGAGCCACAAACCATCCCCATGGCCGTAATACTTCAAACAGATCACTGTGTATTTACAGTGATGCTGTTGTTTCACAGGCCTGTGTGAGACTGGGAACGTAATAGCCTGGTCCCAGATCTGTTTGTGGTGTCTTGCCAATTCCTATATAGCCATTGTCACATAAGACAGCACAAACAGATATGGGACCAGGCTATGCCTCTTAGACGGAGAGAGGTAAGAGAGAGAGAGAGAGAGAGAGAGGAGAGAGAGACGAGAGAGCCAGCGAGCGGTCGAAGAGAGTGAGAGGGACGAGAGAGAGGAAGCGAGTAGAGAGACATGGAGAGAGAGCGAGAGAGACGAGAGAAGCGAGAGAGAGAGCGAGAGCGGAGAGTAGACTATCTGTCGAGCTGCAGCAGGCTATAGAGATGATAGAGTAAGCGCTGATAGATTGAGTCTCTCTCTTTCTCTCCTCTTTTCTCTCTCTCTCTCTCTCTCTCTCTCTCTCTCTCTCTCTTCTCTATCTCTCTTTCTCTCTCTCTCTCTCTCTCTCTCTCTCAACATCCTCAGTACTTTTCCAGTTCATAAGCTACAGCTGGGCCGAGCGCCAGATGTGCTGAATTTAATGTACGAAAGGCGTAGGACAGTCAACGGAAATTGGTGATTAAACTCAACAGCATCGCAAAAGCGAAATAATCTAGAGCAGTTTTTGTATGTGTTATTGTTTCATTAGTGGTATAATTTATCGAACTAGTCTGTAAGTATGATAGAGGGGAGTTGCAGGTGCTTTTCTTGTAAAAAATACCCATAAAGCTCGGTGCTCTGCCACAAAAGTACTGAGGGAGTTCAGATTCCTTCAGCAGACAGTAAGAAGAGCAGACGGCACTTCAACCTTTGAACTAAGTTTCCACAAGAAAGACATCGTCAGCTCATTGTCATCTGCCCCTTTATTATACATTTCTTGCCATGTTTTTTTCCCTGCGTAATATTCCAACAGTGTTTTCTCATCTCTCCCTGTTCCAGGCGTTGAATAACAGCGTGTATAAGAATGTCTCGCCATACGGCTCGCTCAACAACATCGTTGATGGACTCAACTCCCTGACGGACCACTTCTCCGACCTCTCCCTCTCCTCAGAGTCCCGCAAGCCAAGTAAGAGACCCCCGCCCAACTACCTGTGCCACCTCTGCTTCAACAAGGGCCACTACATCAAAGACTGCCCCCAGGTAGGACACGGGATGAGACAGTCCTTATTCTTTTACATGTTCATTTGTTATTTTATTTGTTTGTTTGTTCATTCATCCATCCATCCATCCATCCATCCATTCATGTTGTTTTTGTTCTACCTCTAATTCTATTGGTTCAGTGTCTTTCGATTTCAAAATGCTACTGGCTGCCATCGAGAGTGATCATATTTCCAGCCAATCATGTCCCTTTGAAATTGGCCAATGGCTGTGCAGCGGTGTCATCTGTGTGGCTGTGCCCTGACCTAGTTGTCAAACAGACAAGCCTCTGTCCTCTGTTGTCATGAGTGTGTTAATTGGGCAGACGGACGGACTACTGAACTTCACTATGAGGGAGGAGTAGTAGGGTGAAGTTGGCCCTAGTTGCTGATCTTGGGTCAGTTTTGCATTTTCTCCACTAATGGTTAAAATTAGGATTGGGGTAGGGGAAGCTGGTCCTAGATCTGTACCTAGGGGAAACTTCACTCTGAGAGTATGGAACCAGCGGTATACGAAACACATTTTCATCATCAGTAGATTTCATTTCATCATTAGCCAGGAGATTTCATTTGTTTTAAACAAACACAGTAGGCTACATACATTTCTTTCTGTGAGGGAAACGAGCATAACCATGGCGAATCAGCAGCGAGTTCCAGCTGTGAGGTCCCATGGGTACCAGAGTGTGACCAATGGGGTCCAAGCTGAGCTCTGTTCTGTTTAACAGAATAAGTACAGGACTCTATGGTACTGATGGGACGTATATACCCATATAAATAGAATGAGTAGAATGTGCTTGGAACCTCTCACATTGGCAGTTTGACTTGTAAACACATTCTAGTTTTGTGGATCTACCCACCTATTGATTGGAGGATGTATGTATGGAAGACACCACATTATGTTTTGTAGTAACCAAAACGATCACATTATATGATAGCCTACTTCTAGTAAATGTGCACCCTAAAACACAGGAGAATCAATGTACATCATTATTGATATCATGCTGTATTATGCACACTGCGATGGCGTAACATGTCACAATAGCACAACTGAAATAGCATTCTGAGAGATTATGGACCACAAAATTACTATTGTGGTTTTCACATACAGGCACTTTGAGGAACGTTCTGTCTCTTTTTACGACGCCTTGTAAAAGCAAACTTCATGGTCTGAGTTTAAGTTTGAAAATGAAATATCTGATTTCGAAACATGGACAATCACAGTTTTTCTCAGAATTCTGGTGTGGAGAGGTTATTGTTAGATAAGCCCATGGTGATGCCAGATAAGAGGTTGTTGTTAGATAAGCCCATAGTGATGCCAGATGAGAGGTTGTTGTTAGATAAACCCATGGTGATGCCAGATAAGAGGTTATTGTTAGATAAGCCCATGGTGATGCCATATGAGAGGTTGTTGTTAGATAAGACCATGGTGATGCCATATGATAGTTTGTTGTTAGATAAGCCCATAGTGATGCCAGATGAGAGGTTGTTGTTAGATAATCCCATGGTGATGCCAGATGAGAGGTTATTGTTAGATAAGACCATGGTGATGCCAGATGAGAGGTTGTTGTTAGATAAGCCCATAGTGATGCCAGATGAGATGTTGTTGTTAGATAAACCCATGGTGATGCCAGATAAGAGGTTGTTGTTAGATAAGCCCATGGTGATGCCAGATGATAGGTGGTTGTTAGATAAGCCCATAGTGATGCCGGATGATAGGTTGTTGTTAGATAAACCCATGGTGATGCCAGATGAGAAGTTGTTGTTAGATAAACCCATGGTGATGCCAGATATTATCTTCTTCTTTCGCTCTCCCTCTCTCTCTCTCTCTTGCTCTTTCTCTTTCTCTGTCTCTCTCTGTTTATCGTGTGTGTGTGTGTGTGTGTTTTTTGTAGAGCTTGCTGGTTAAGACCGAATCAACACTAATCCTTGTATTTTTATTGTGTTGACGTTGTAAATCCGTGCTTGATAGTCATCACTGTGTATTTAAACCATTGAACCGGTCAGTTTAGCGAGTCAGTGGAAATGTTATTACCACCAAACCCCCTCAACAATAGACTGCTACGAAACCAGTCTAGACTTCATGGGTGTAACTGAAATGTGTGTGTGTGTGTGCGTGTGTGTGCGTACGTACGTGCGCATGGGCGTAACTCAAATACAGCGAATCTGTCGGGGCTCCCCAACTGTTCGTTAAACTGCAAACGGATACACAGAAAACACCAGATCTCCAGCGTGTTTTAACCACACCTGCATCACATACATGGAAGACATGGAAGACACTCCAAACGAGTGCAGACCTGGGCCAGTGCAATGCATATGTCCAATACTTTACATTATTTGAGGGGTGCTTGATTTACAGTAGCTTGGGGTTTGCACTTTGAGGACTATTCCGTTGATTCCATTGTACTAGGTGAACTAAATCAAGTACAGGCCAAGTATTATAAATTATTTGAGCTTGATTTAGCTTGGCGATTGAACTTTTGGGACTATTCCGTTCATTCCATTGTACCAGGAAAACTAGATCAAGCGCAGGTCAAGTATTTGAAAGAATTTGAGGAGTGCTTTATGTAGAATGTAGTTTGAACTTTGAGGACTACTCCATTAGTTCCATTGTACCGAGTGAACTAAATCATAATTTGATAAACTAAATTGAATGATATGTCTATGAATCAAGCATAGCTCAAGTATTTGAAAGTATTGGACAGACGTATTTATTTGACCCAGGTCTGAATGAGTGTGATGATTTTCAAGCGGGCGTCCCTAAGGAACAGGACTTCACAGGCCTCCCTTTGCTGGGTTTGCGATCCTTTACAGTAATGTTCTGTTAAACCAAAGTTTCTATGGAAATTAAGGTAACATACTGTACCTTTTTTTATGGTAACTTACTGGCTGCCAGTAAGTTACTGTAAAAACAACATGATTTTTTTTTACAATGTACTCTCCATCACTCCGTGTAATAGTGCCCAGTCCTTTCCAGCTTAGTCTGTGATGTTAAGGGCAAAGCCCCACTGCTTCCCTCCCTCTATCCTCCTAGGTACAGTGTTGTAGTCTCTCCCAGAGGGACCTTTCTCTCCCCCAGTCCTCTGTAGTTACTGAGGAGTGGAAACCAAAGCCCCACTACCCCTGCCCGAAAGAGGACTGCCCTAGTGTGGATCAACAGGGTCCTGGTTGGTTGGTGTGGTTGAGAGGGAGGGGGCTCCAATAGGAAACAGAGAATGAAACAGCTGAGTGGAGCTGCAGAGAGACACAGGAAGGGGATCTGTGATAGATCTTCCTGTGGTTGGTGGGCTGTCTGTGTTGTGCATTTACATTTTTGTTATTTAGCAGACGCATACATTTTAGTACTGGTCCCCAGTGGGAATCGAACCCACAACCCTGGCATTACAAGCACCATGCTCTATCAACTGAGCCACACAGGACCTGCATATATGTGTTTTTGTTTTCCTCTGGTTAGTATGTAGTGGTAGTACAATTATATTACTCTCCTGTGTCATAGGACTGGTCCTCTGGGAGCTCTCTCTGCTCTGCTCTCCTCTCCTCTTCCCTCTTCCTCTCCGCCTGCCGTCATAGGGCGACCGAGGTGTTATGTAAACAGGCTTTTATTTGGAGAATGAGGTCGCTCCCCCAGTTCTGACCAGAATGTCCTGTTCACTGGGGCCTGGCTGCCTGGCTGCCCCCCTCTGGTGCACAGCCTAAATGTCTTCCACTTTCGTTCATGATTTGTTTGGTGGCCTCAATCGCCTGCTCCGCCTCTGATGTTTCCCTAATGAAAATGATCCATTGATTGACGTCCACTCGCCATGTTTCCCCCTGTACAGGGATTAACACATGGAATATTTGCTGTAATTTAATGTGTGTGGGGAGTCACTGAGTCACTCCCTCATCCAGTGGCCATCTCCCCTCTTCCCCCTATCCCCCGCTCCCCTCCCCTGGCCAATGCCCTCAAGCTGCCCTGCTCTACACACTGACATCAGCCCACTCCTACACCCAGCATTCTATTCTCATGACCAGCACTCTAGAATCTAGATCGGCTGGACAGAGAGGGCAAACGTTTTGGAAATGTGGGCAATGCAGTGCTACTGTAAACTGTGAAATGGTTGACATCACATTTGTAGTATTTGAGGTCAGCTAGTGTCAGGGTTTGGAGTTAATTCCATTAGAATCCAGTCAGTTCAGGAAATGATGAATTGCAGTTGTGTAAAGTACTTAAGTAAAACATACTTTAAAGTACTACTTAAGTCGTTTTTTGGGGTATCTGTACTTTACTATTTATATTTTTGACAATTGTTACTTTAACTTTACTACATTCCTAAAGAAAATAATGTACTTTTTACTCCATACATTTTCCCTGAAACCCAAAAGTACTCGTTCCATTTTGAATGCTTAGCAGGACAAGAAAATTGTCCAATTCACGCACTTATCAAGAGAACATCCCTGGTCATCCCTACTGCCTCTGATCTGGTGGCCTCACTAAACACACATGTTTCATTCGTAAATGATGTTTAAGTGTTGGAGTGTGCCCCTGGCTATCCGTAAATTTGCTTAATATAAGGAATTTTAAATGATTTATACTTTTACTTTTGTATATTTTAGCAATTGCATTTACTTTTCACACTTAAGTACTTTTAAAACCTAATACTTTAAGACTTTTACTCAAGTAGTATTTTACTGGGTGACTTTCACTTTTACTTGAGTCATTTTCTATTAAGGTATCGTTACTTTTACTCAAGTATGACAATTGGGTACTTTTTCCACCACTGATGAATTGAAATCATTTACCATGCAGACTTTTCAACTGATGAATTTAATTTAAATGATTCTCACATACAGTGGGGAAAAAAAGTATTTAGTCAGCCACCAACCCACTTAAAAAGATGAGAGAGGCCTGTAATTTTCATCATAGGTACACGTCAACTATGACAGACAAAATGAGAAAAAAAAATCCAGAAAATCACATTGTAGGATTTTTTATGAATTTATTTGCAAATTATGGTGGAAAATAAGTATTTGGTCAATAACAAAAGTTTCTCAATACTTTGTTATATACCCTTTGTTGGCAATGACACAGGTCAAACGTTTTCTGTAAGTCTTTTCTGTAAGGTTTTCACACACTGTTGCTGGTAGTTTGGCCCATTCCTCCATGCAGATCTCCTCTAGAGCAGTGATGTTTTGGGGCTGTTGCTGGGCAACACGGACTTTCAACTCCCTCCAAAGATTTTCTATGGGGTTGAGATCTGGAGACTGGCTAGGCCACTCCAGGACCTTGAAATGCTTCTTACGAAGCCACTCCTTCGTTGCCCGGGCGGTGTGTTTGGGATCATTGTCATGCTGAAAGACCCAGCCACGTTTCATCTTCAATGCCCTTGCTGATGGAAGGAGGTTTTCACTCAAAATCTCACGATACATGGCCCCATTCATTCTTTCCTTTACACGGATCATTCGTCCTGGTCCCTTTGCAGAAAAACAGCCCCAAAGCATGATGTTTCCACCCCCATGCTTCACAGTAGGTATGGTGTTCTTTGGATGCAACTCAGCATTCTTTGTCCTCCAAACACGATGAGTTGAGTTTTTACCAAAAAGTTCTATTTTGGTTTCATCTGACCATATGACATTCTCCCAATCCTCTTCTGGATCATCCCAAATGCACTCTAGCAAACTTCAGACGGGCCTGGACATGTACTGGCTTAAGCAGGGGGACACGTCTGGCACTGCAGGATTTGAGTCCCGGGCCGCGTAGTGTGTTAATGATGGTAGGCTTTGTTACTTTGGTCCCAGCTCTCTGCAGGTCACTCACTAGGTCCCCCCTTGTGGTTCTGGGATTTCTGCTCACCGTTCTTGTGATCATTGTGACCCCACAGGGTGAGATCTTGCGTGGAGCCCCAGATCGAGGGAGATTATCAGTGGTCTTGTATGTCTTCCATTTCCTAATAATTGCTCCCACAGTTGATTTCTTCAAACCAAGCTGCTTACCTATTGCAGATTCAGTCTTCCCAGCCTGGTGCAGGTCTACAATTTTGTTTCTGGTGTCCTTTGACAGCTCTTTGGTCTTGGCCATAGTGGAGTTTGGAGTGTGACTGTTTGAGGTTGTGGACAGGTGTCTTTTATTACATTTTACATTTTAGTCATTTAGCAGACGCTCTTATCCAGAGCGACTTACAGTTAGTGAATACATATATTTTTTTTTATACTGATAACAAGTTCAAACAGGTGCCATTAATACAGGTAACGAGTGGAGGACAGAGGAGCCTCTTGAAGAAGAAGTTACAGGTCTGTGAGAGCCAGAAATCGTGCTTGTTTGTAGGTGACCAAATACTTATTTTCCACCATAATTTGCAAATAAATTCATTAAAAATCCTGCAATGTGATTTTCTGGAAAAATAATTCTCAATTTGTCTGTCATAGTTGACGTGTACCTATGATGAAAATTACAGGCCTCTCTCATCTTTTTAAGTGGGAGAACTTGCACAATTGGTGGCTGACTAAATACTTTTTTCCCCCACTGTATTTATATGGAATTGACTTCAACCCTGGTTGGAATAACTTTGATGCTAATGTTTTAAAGCTTTGCTGGGCTTTTACTGCTTTCTGTCTTCTTAGGATGCCTCTGCGAGGACGTCTCAAAACATTCCGTGATGTAAGCACTGAACATACATCAACTGAAGCTCACCTCATCCAAGTCATCCATTATCCCCAGCACAGAGCTATGTTATCTGCTGTAAACAACCACTATCTCTTTCTGCAAACGTCACCCTATTCCCTGTATAGTCCACTACTTTTGACCTGAGTGCACTATGTAGGGAATAGGGTGCCATTTGGAACGTAAGCAATCTCTCTCTCCAGCTTTTTCCAGAGGCAGCTAATGCTGCTGGTCATAAAGTATTAAACAGCCAGTGTTAGGGAATGTAGTTAAAGTGGTAATTTAGCTACATTTTGCAGTATCTTGGTGGTAGTTTGACTGAATTAAAATCGAGGTAGTGTTTCAGTAGTTCATTACTTTTTTTTGCCATGTAGCTGTGTAGCTAACTACTGGAACTACACACTACAATTTTTGCAAAAAGCAAAGAAAATATGGGCAATCATTTCCTTTCTTTTCCATCATCAGACGTGTCTAGTTCTCACTTGAAACATCGTTTTTGTGTTTAATCGGCTAAATTACACATTCTATTAACAAATGACCCCAAAGGGATATGTCTTGCAATTTGTATTCTATGACATTTCAGATTTAGATATGATAATTTATCACAAAGTAGCTTGGATGTAGTGAACTACTTTTTCAAAGTAACTTTAGTTACAGTTGAAGTCGGAAGTTTACATACACTTAGGTTGGAGTCATTAAAACTTGTTTTTCAACCACTCCACAAATTTCTTGTTAACAAACTATAGTTTTGGCAAGTCGGTTAGGACATCTACTTTGTGCATGACACAAGTAATTTTTCCAACAATTGTTTACAGACAGATTATTTCACTTATAATTCACTGTATCACAATTCCAGTGTGTCAGAAGTTTACATACACTAAGTTGACTGTGCCTTTAAACAGCTTGGAAAATTCCAGAAAATGATGTCATGGCTGTAGAAGCTTCTGATAGGCTAATTGACATCATTTGAGTCAATTGGAGGTATACCTGTGGATGTATTTCAAGGCCTACCTTCAAACGCAGTGCCTCTTTGCTTGACATCATGGGAAAATCAAAAGAAATCAGCCAAGACCTCAGAAAAAAAATTGTAGACCTCCACAAGTCTGGTTAATCCTTGGGAGAAATTTCCAAACGCCTGAAGGTACCTCGTTCATCTGTACAAACAATAGTACGCAAGTATAAACACCATGGGACCACGCAGACATCATACCGCTCAGGAAGGAGACACGTTCTGTCTCCTAGAGATTAATGTACTTAGGTGTGAAAAGTGCAAATCAATCCCAGAACAACAGCAAAGGACCTTGTGAAGATGCTGGAGGAAACAGGTACAGAAGTATCTATATCCACAGTAAAATGAGTCCTATATCGACATAATCTGAAAGGCCGCTCAGCAAGGAAGAAGCCACTGCTCCAAAACTGCCATAAAAAAAGCCAGACTACAGTTTGCAACTGCACATGGGGACAAAGATCGTACTTTTTGGAGAAATGTCCTCTGGTCTGATGAAACAAAAATAGAACTGTTTGGCCATAATGACCATCGTTACATGTGCGCTGCCCCATGTATGTCCCGAGTGGCGCAGTGGTCTAAGGCACTGCACTGCATCGCAGTGCTAGCTGTGCCACTAGAGATCCTGGTTCGAATCCAGGTTCTGTTGTAGCCGGCCGCGACCGGGAGACCCATGGGGCGGCGCACAATTGGCCAAGCGTCGTCCAGGGTAGGGAAGGGAATGGCTGGCAGGGATGTAGCTCAGTTGGTAGAGCATGGCGTTTGCAACGCCAGGGTTGTGGGTTCGATTCCCAAGGGGGGACAGTATGAAAACTTTAAAAAATGATGTATGCACTCAAGTCGCTCTGGATAAGAGTGTCTACTAAAATGTAAATGTTATGTTTAGAGGAAAAAGGGGGGGGCTTGCAAGCCGAAGAACACCATCCCATACTGTAGATGGCATCATGAGGAAGGAAAATTATGTGGATATATTGAAGCAACATCTCAAGACATCAGTCAGGATGTTAAAGCTTGGTCGCAAATAAGAATCTTAACTGACCTGCCTAGTTAAATTAAGGTTAAATAAAAATAAGAAAATTAATTAATGGGTCTTCCAAATGGACAATGACCCCAAGCATACTTCCAAAGTTGTGACAAAATGGCTTAAGGACAACAAAGTAAAGGTATTGGAGTGGCCATCACAAAGCCCTGACCTCAATCCTATAGAACATTTGTGAGCAGAATTGAAAAAGCATGTGCGAGCAAGGAGGCCTACAAACCTGACTCAGTTACACCAGCTCTGTCAGGAGGAATGGGCCAAAATTCACCCAACTTATTGTGGGAAG